AAAAGAAACAAATTCTCTTTTTTGAGAAACATCACATTTCCTTTAAAAAGACTTAAATGATAATTTGAAATTCAAAACAGTTGCGGATCAATGTTCTGCTGTCAGACTAATCGATTCGTTGATTGATCATTGTAGCTCTACTTCCTTCTGTTGGTAACTTTCCCGCTTAGAGTCAAGTTGTTCTTAAACTTACAGTGTGTATGGGAGCTATTATTAGCTAGCAGCCTGATAAGACAAGTACCTGTTGATAGAGATGCAACAGAGAACGGAGCTGGTGGATTGTGGAATACTGAGCGCGCTTTCTTCTTAGTTTCAAATAAAAACTAATACGAGTTCCTCACAGAACACCGCCACAAGGTTTCTGTGCGTTTCATGACGTGGTGGATGGATTGTTGAGCGGGCCGAAGGGGTCGGCCGGCTCATGGGCCAGAGCCTCTGTTTGAAATGACTGTTAACGCATCTTGTTGAAAGTTATAAAAAGGAGCGGAGGTTGTCCGGATCGACCACAGAGAGATTCAAAATGACCACGAGGAAACACAAAACAAGCCAGAAAAGATGCGAAACAACCTGTGACCCGTCCATTGTAGCCTGAGAAGCCCTTAATGTTTGCCTCAAGCTCTTTGTGTATTCAGAGAGAGAGAGAGAGAGAGAGAGAGAGAGAGAGAGAGAGAGAGAGAGAGAGAGAGAGAGAGAGATCCTCTCCTTGTCACACCCTTTTCTCTTCCTCTTTTAAAACAGACCTCATTAGACAAAATAACACACACACAGAGGAAACTTGTCTGATTGGCTGATCTGGAAACTCTTACACAACAACTCCCCAGCAGTTTGAAGGAGTTGTTGCCTCATTCAAGTCACACACAACATTCATTACATCCCCGGTGAGTTCAGAGCTCTTTTCTTTTTGTGTGTGTTTCACGTCAGTGTGCTGGTGTCATCTTTGATAAGAACTTTAATTCTGGACATTTTCAAGTGTCTGAGGCCTGTTGGACTGAAGCTCTGTGGGTGGGGCTGGACTACAGCATGTTTTGAAGGAGATAGAGAAAGAAACTGTAATATTTCAGAATAATGAACTGTTCCTCGCTATCCCTCAGATTCTGTATCAGCTTGTTGCAGCCCTTCATTGAAGCCGTATGATGTTTACACTGACCGAAATATTCAGACCCAAGACGAGTGTTTTTAAAGCTGCGCAATGAGTAATGCTGCATCATCAGACTAGCTGCAGTCGACCAATCTGGCGCTGTGTCCCTAACGCAGACTAGCCACTGAGGCAAATCGACAGCACCTTGAAGAAACAGTTTGTCCTTTTGTAAATGCACTTATTTTACTTTCTTTCTCTAAAGTTAGACGAGAAGATTGACACCACTCTCGTGTCTGTGTGTGAGGTATAGAGCTGAAGCCAGGAGGCAGTTAGCTTAGCTTAGCATAAAGAGTGGAAGCGAGGGGAAACAGCTAGCCTGACTCTCTTATTAATTAGAAAATACACATTATAGCCTGTATGTTTAATCTGAACACAAGCAGATATGTAAAAATGACAGTTTTATGGCTTGACGATTAATTCTCAATCAATTAATCAATTATTGATCTTTGCAGCTCTAGTGCCTGCTATTGTTAATGTAAGAAACCATCCTTTTTTAAACCATACAAACACAAAATAGCTCTACAGCCATTTAAATACACTGGCACCTGTCTACACACACACACACACACACACACACACACACACACACACTCACTCAGAGGAAAATGGTCTTTATTTCAGCTGCAAAGAAGCTGGCAGTTTTGATAATAGAGCAGTGTTCAGCTGAGAAACCAGAGATCACCGATCAGACAAGACGCCCATTCATCTGTGTGACCTCTGACCCCTGAAGCCAGTCACAGGTGACTGTGACACTGGGATACTGTTACGCACCTTTGTTTGTGGCTGGAATAACATTAATCCCAGTGTTTGTTAGCTGCACTTTAAAGAGTAAAATGGCTCAGAGAGAACTTTGTGTGTGTGTGTGTGTGTGTGTGTGTGTGTCATTAGACAGAGACAGAAAAGTAGGACACTACCAAACATTGATGGTAAAGGTGGTTGAAGTGAAACCAGACCATGTTCTGATTCAACCTCCCCTTTGCTCTCACTTTTTTTTTTTCACTGTAGTTTTAAAACCAAATGTGACTGTGTGCACCTCATGACCCACTTTAACACCACAAAGCTTATCTGGGCGGAGCATTGATGTAGTTCAATTCCAAAATCCGTTATCATTCTGAAGGACATTTTGCTGGTTAAACAACATGTTTACAGACTGGATTTTATTTCGTTTATTACAAATTACACGCACGTTTCATTACAGATAACCATTTTACAATCCATGCTGCTAAGTTTCAGAAATTTGAATATACGTTAAATAAAGTTCAGTGACCAGGCAGCCATTGTAATCCATCTGGGGATGCAACTCATAAATTCCAGTGCGTCTTTTATGATGAAATACAGTAATCCCTCGTGAATGTAAGTGCCAGACGTTGCTTTGGCTTATGCTCAGGATTTAATGAAGACCTGGAAAAACTGTGATGGAAATAATATAAAAAGCTTTACACACTGGTTACAGCAAGCTGAGAAAAGACAGCTGAAGTATACTAAGATTTCAGATTGTGTTTAATAACCACTACAGATGCCTACTGTGTGTTTAATCTTGTTGATGTTGTTATTTGTGCAGGCGGTGGATGTAAAATGAAGGTAAAGGTTTCCACTGAGGTTGCGTGTAAGAGTTTAGTAACTCAGGAGCTGCAGACTCCTAAAGTAGCTTCCACTTCACTCTGGAGCTGCATTAGTCTTCCCAGCATCTTATAACTGATTGACCGGAGCCAGTCCGGTCTCTGAGGTGTGTCAGCGCCGTAGTAAAGCCTTGAAAGTCGGAGTGTCCGTCGAAGCCAAGAGAGTGAAGCGTGTGACATTCAGTGTTAAAGCCCTTCTGTAAAATGTCTTTTTCCTCTTCACCAGGCCAGAGACGTCGTCGGTGTCGGCTCACATGTTTGACTGTGGAATAAGTTTCACGGTGAATGAAAAGGTGGACTGTTTGCTTTAGAGTTTTTATGGCAGGACTTTATCTCAAAGAGTGGAGATGTGGTGGGTAGTTACAAGTGTGTGTGTGTGTGTGTGTGTGTGTGTGTGTGTGTATAGCCACAACAGGGGTACATGTGTACACACTGTCTGGCCCATGTGTCAAGGCATCATGATGCTTGTCTGTTTTTCCATTGCCTTGGCATTACTGCTAAAACACACACATTCTTCAACACACACGTGTGTTAGATATTTATAGCTGCAACGCTGACGTCACCTTGGCAACCAGTGCTGAGGGGCAGGAGCTCCACAACCACCACTTCCTGTCCGGGAATCTTCAACATGGGCCAAACACACACACACACACACACACACACACACACACACACACACACACTCTCTCTCCCCCTCCCTGATGATCACATTTGCACCTCATTAATTTATTTTCCCTGAAAACTTTTTTTACATATTGGGGGTTTTTAGCATCACATATTTCCATACACACACACACACACACACGCACACCGCCCAGCCTTTACACACCAAAACACACAACTCTAAATTTAGTTTTGATGAGGGTGAAGAGGATCAGTAAGAAAACAGTAAAAAGAAGTTTGTGCTTTAACAGATGTGAGGTTTTTATCATTACCACATTAGTGTTGAGGCCAGTCCTGCAGCTAACGCTTACTTTTATAATCGATTAACCTGAAGATTTCTTTTAACAAGATGTTTCTCATGTTATAATGACGTACTTTTCTTGTCATCACCGTGCACCAGCTCGTTCCATTTTAACAAGAAACATGGGTTAATGTATCAACTTGCATGCATGCATATGTGTGTGTGGATTATAGACTGTGTATATAAATGGACGTAGACTCCGGATCTGAAAGGTGAAGCCAATGCATTTCTTTCTAATGGGAGCGACTGCACTGGTCGTATAAAGTCTTCTCACTTGATTTATCAGTTTATGGTCTCAATCGCTGGATTCAAATCGTCTTCAGTACAACAAGATGTTCATTTTTAAATCCTGGTCCCATTTAGGGGAAAATGGAGAATAAAGCAGGGTATAAATTAGGGCGTGGCCGCTGTGTGATTGACAGACAGTCGCACACACACTGACAAAGGACATACTGCACTGCAACAACTACTGATTACTGATTACTAATGAGTACTGGCACGGTGTGTCAGAGGCCGCTGAAGTAACAGTGGCGTGCCAGCACTCGGCCCAGACAGACCACAGGACCCAGACTGGGCTCCCAGCGCTGCCCTCTGACTGTCTGGGCTCCGCGATGATTGAACGAGTAGATAACTGAATGAGTGGATGGTCCGGTCTGAGAGGGGAGACACCCTCTGAGTCATGCCTCCCTACATGAGAAAAACAAAACACCGGAGGGCTGATGCAAACCTAGAGTAAGGGCTTCTGTGACGAAAAGGGGAAGTGAAGGTTGGACTCTCTCTCTCTGTCTCACAACGCTCATGGAGTGCATCAAACAAACACACAGACACATGGCTTACAACTGGACTGTCAAACAGTGTTGAGGCTCTCCTCCTCCCCTCTTCATGTGTTTTTAATTAATTCCATTTGCCTGTTTGTACCTCTCCATTTAGATTTAGATTAGATTTAAATGTCTTCTCCACTTGGTCTCAAAAGCTTTTCCAGTCAGAAACAGCTGAACCTTCAGTAAAACCTGCTTTACCCTGAGTTTAAAAACCTACGACTGAGGAAGAATGAGCTCATAGAGCACGTTACGGAAAGTGTCTTGATGGCAGTCGGCGGACATGCAATAACTCTCACATTAACAGCAACTCTCAGGCAGGAGAAAGGCGGTGTTTGACTTGAACATTGTGAGGTGTGTGTGTGTGTTTATTCCCTCATAACAGACGCATTAGGTGACTTGGATTTATCCTCTGTTCAGCCGCAGAGTAACAGTAAGAGTATCTCTGTCTTTCTTCACAGACTGGTATGATGGATAGATAGCAGAAGGAGGAAGAGAAGATGTCTTTCTTTGGCCTGGACTGTGTCAGGAAGAAAGAGATAGGTAAGCCTTGACCAGATGGATTCTCATAAAATGTCATAATCTTTAGATTCTGTAATTTGATGTCTGCCATTAAATGAAATATTCAAATTATAATTGGTAATATGTTTTACTGTCAGTGGTGACAAGTGCATCAAGTACAACACAAAATTGTAAAGCATGACAATAATTTTGTATATTTCTGCTACATTTTTTTTCTCAAAACCGAAAATTAAAATTCCTATACAGAGTCAAACATCCTGTTTTCTTGTAACATATACTAAAGTTATGTGGTGTCCTGTCCTACCACTGCTGGGTTTGGGGGTTAGGTTCCCTTTATACATTTGTACTGTGATGTGCTTTAGATAAAACTTTCCATCATAGAAAAATTAAAATCACGATATGAATAAATTCTTGTAAGTTCATCTGAATAAATAATAAATAATAATTTCTGTCTTTTCATATCAGAGCTGGAGAGGAAACTCCGTGCCAACGACAGAGAATACAACCTGTCCTTTAAATATGCAGTAAGTATTACTATGATCATCTATGTGAGTGTTGTGAGTGAGATGTCTTCCACTCACTCAGACACGCAGACATCAATTTAAAATCCTATTGAGCTCCGAGAGGCTGCTTCTTAAAATAGAGAAGGGGATTTACAGCGGACGCAGCCCTCGTATCTTTTAGACAAAACCGTTTACCACCACATTTTGTTAGTTCAGATATTTACAAGAGAAACTCTCCCTCGGGGCATGTCTTGTTACTTGAGTGTCTGGCCGTTATCAGGAGACTGGACGTCAGCCAAAGTCAGAGAGTCGCTGCTGAGTAAACTCATTCTCCTTGGTTTGTTGCTGCGGTCAAGGTCAAATCTCTGTATCACTAAGATATTAAAACAGAGAACAGATGCATGGCTAACTTGCTACAGCCTTGTAGCTCCATTAGATTAGAAGAATAGCATGAAATCAATGAAATGGCAACACATCTTAATGGAGGATGGAGACTAATGTTATTCAGAAAGGGAAAAATGGAAAATAAATATGAAAATTGTAAATAAATTATTATTTTAATATACGACCAAAGAATAATCAGGGAATAATCAAATGTTAAAAAGAAAAGGAAACTGGATATTAAGATGACAAACTGTTATAGTGTGAAATGGCAATTTATACGAAAAATAAACAAACAAATAAAAACCTTTATTGATATGTCACTTTTCAGAACAGGTGTAGCTTCATAACACAATGAAAAGAACAAATGTGTAAAACAGGCAGAACTAAAACACTGTTAAAGCTTCAAGATCAACAAATGAAATATTAAATTGTAAAACAATAAAACAAGGACAAAAAAAAAAATATATATATATAGACACATACATTTCAGTATACTTTATACACTAATGCATAAATGTACACATACTGTAAAACACACATATTTGAACTTTATAAGAATTTGAACATAAAAATTTAAAAAGTAGAGTAATTTCTATCTTCAATCTTTTATTTTTCCCTTTTCACTTTTAATTGGTTAAAATGCTTACAACTCTGTGAGAATAAAGCTAGTGGAAAATACCAAAACACACAGTCATTTGTCCTGCTTGTGTGTTTAATTGCGGCGCTGTTAGTGGAGAGATCCAGTGATTAAGTTATGTGGGAGTCGCGGTCCAGCTGGTCAGAGCTCTCAGCCTCCTGATAAGATCCACCTGGCACAGAGGAAATGCCTCCCACCAGATTACACAAACATCTGAACTCACGAGGATTCCTCACATGAAAAAATAAAACCACTGAGGGTCTAATCAAGGATTCACATAAGGATATTTTCTGAGGATCTCCAAGCTGCTCTCTAGTTCTGTTCTGGTCTTCGAAGAATCTCTGATTCACCTCAGCATTGGTGGAGAGAAAATATACAATCACTTCCAAGGAATTCTCTGAACTATTTCAGTGTGACATTAAACTGTTCCTCACAAACTTACTCACTGGTTCTGCGCCAGAACTGTCATGTAATCACCACAAAAACGCACACACAGTAGAAACAAAGAATTAAATATTTATTGTTATTATGTCCTGGTTCCATTTATATCACTGAGGGTAGATTAAATATTAGAAACTCCTCTCAGTATAACTCAGTACAGTCAACAGCATCACAGACTGCAGCCACCAAAATTACATAAATCACTCTCTCCTAGATACTTTCAACAAAAACCGAACATTTTAACCATAATGAAGAAATTATGTGTTTTAATTATGGAGTAAACAAACCATAAAGGATACATTTTAGCTAGTGTTAGATTGGATAGAAAAGATATGTCTGTAGGATGTCTGTCTATGAAGAGAAACACAGCTTTATAAATACACGACAAGAAACAATATATAACTTGTTTTTGGGACTTGACCCAACAAACAACCTTTCATTAATGTGAATATTTTCGTCGGTGAGGAAAATCTTCTTGTTTTTGTTAAGGGGAAGTGTTTGCAGCTGAACCCTCTTGGAAACAAACAGTTCAAGCTTTGTTTAATGAGGTGGAAGTAGTGTTATTATTACAGTATTACAGTCTTAAGGATACACTTTTAGTATATATATTTTCAAGTAAAAAATGTTGAATGTAACAAAACAACCACCTCCCACAGAACCTCCCTGTGGAGAAGTGTATTAATTTCTCCCTTAAAGTAGAAAATAGTTCACTCAGCCACAGGGAAGTCAAAGGTCAGATATCAGGGTTAGTGGATGTGGGTTCTTTCTTTCACCATGACCTATTTGGTTAAAAAGGTCTGTCTATTACAGTATTTGTTCTGTCTGCTGACAGGGTGTCCTGTAAATCTATCACAAACTAAACATTGGAATAAACAAAAGACCATAAAGATAGATAAATATTTGTTGAAGCCATGAATGTGATTACACATAAAGAAAGTCTCTTATTGAATGCATGAGGCCACATATCCATGAAACAGCCTGTTAAGGTTTTATGGATTCATGCGCAACATCTCATATAGTGTACAAAATAACACAAGTTGCTTTACATACAGACGAATCAGACATTTATACACAGACTAACCTTACATGTAGAGTATTTTTCCACCACTACTGTCTATTTGTTCTGTGGCCAGTTCCAGCAACCCAGTTGGTGTTTTAAATGACATAAAATGTTTTGAGTAATTTCACAGATATAGCTCTGTAATGGATTATATTGATCTTTCTGTGCTATCACAATACCTAGAACCTACAGTTTATAGTCCAGTTGGCCCACGTTCAGCTATTTGTTACGCTGTTTTGAGTAGCAAGCATTTGTCATAGTTCTTGTGTGAAGCTAACATACTAGGTTTTACCAAGTTTGCCAAGTTACAGTTTTTTTCTTGTCAGGATTAAAAATAAATAAATAAATAAAAAAATAATAAAAAAAATAAAAAATGTAATAAGCCACGCCCCCTTCTAGCACTCGCCGGAAATGACGATAGCAACATGTTACCGCGACTGCCGACCTGCCCACTGCATTGTTCACTTGACTTAAAAATGAACGTTTTACGTTCCTGTGTGTGCTCCATGTGTCGCATGACATGGAAATTATGCCACCATCGGCGCCGACTACGTGTCCCCCTTCCGCAGTCGCCGATTTCACAAGTGTGAAAATGCGTTGGTGATCTTTCCCCTTCTGCTACGTAGCCAAGATGGCGACCGTTGAGGGTTGAGGAAGTGTCCGCTACAGTTTTTGACCGTTTGGAGTGCACCATCCGGGTACTTATAGGTACGAGAATAGAGACAGCAAGGAGATTTTGGGATGTTTTACTGCTGAATTGTTGTTGAAAACTATTAATTATTAAACAATACAGTAATAATGTGTAAAAGACCATCATGCTTTCATGTAGCTGTCATTAAATTTATAACAGCAAGGCCATAAGTTTACTAGGTCAACACTAGCTAGCATTATGTCATTGTTTGCCTCTTTGTTGTTGATAAAACTAAGAAATTACGTCCATACATCTTGTAGTTCATAACGGGATATATGTGTCAAGTATTGATTATAGTGCAAAGCTGTGTTACTGTATCTTAGTCAGGAAGAGGTCAATGTGTCTGTTTCCCCTGAATGAACTGTCATGTTTTTCCTCACTCCAATGCTGTTTTTACCATTTATAAACCCATTAAACTATGATGGTTATTATAAGACGAGAACATTGAACAGTGACAGTTTACAAGGACAAGAGATCCCAGAGATAGACCACAGAAGATGTCACAAAAACATTTCTGCTTTTGTTACTGTTCTAATCTCATGATTGGAAATGTTTGTCTCCTGTTGGTTATGCAGCCTCAGTTACTGTACACACATACAAAACGTATTCAGCACATTAAACTCCACACAAGAAACTACAACCTAATTTTAAGGGTCCTATAAAATTAAATGAGAATCAAGAAGTATGTGAATGTCTCACTGAAACATAAAGCTTGAGATATCTCAAGAAATGCCCCCAATGAACCATCAAATATCTTGAAAAGCTGATGTATTGCAGCATTAATCCTACTCTCTCCTTCCCTTACGCCTCTTCCAGACAAATGCCATCAAGACCTCCAAGTACAACCTGTTCACCTTCCTACCTCTCAACCTGTTTGAGCAATTCCAGAGGATCGCAAACGCCTACTTCCTTTTTCTGCTGGTGCTCCAGGTGAGGGAAACAAACATGCACATGCACAGGCACGTACAGGGCAACGTGTCCATCCAACTGTCATGCAGATTTCATGCAAACACTAGAAATGTCTCACATAATGAAATGCAAAGAAGATGAGATTAGATTCTCCTTTATTAGTCCCACAGTGGGAAAATTTGAAGTGTAGACTTGTTTCTCTCAGGTTGGTTGATGACATACTGAATGTTTGACCCAGGACTTAACTCAGAAAGAATATTATTATGCCAGAGTGTTTGGCAATGCAGGAGGACTTAGCAGGTTTCATATACTCAGGGACCCTTCATTGGTGAGCTCCTGCAGACCCCCATTAAACATGTGGTTTCATTATTTCCCCAGTCAACCAGAAACCAACCAGTACTCTAAGGTTGAATGATGAGGTGATTAAATCAATTAGTTAATTTCAGATGATTGGTTAATCATTTAAGTCTTTTTAAATGAAAAATAATTCAGAACATAGAATACAATTTAATATGTTAAGTACATGTCTGTATTCACGTTTATATCCCATTTTTGTCAGTACTTCCCAGCAGCATTTAGCAATAATTCTTAATAATATCATTAATTAATTAACACAAAATGGACCCAGCAAAACACTGATGGGTAGATAAACCAATTAGGAAATAATTACATTTTTGCTAAATAATGACACTTGCCCATTATGAATTGATAAGCTCCTGTTGTTCTCTGATAATTTAACAATGTATACAATATCAACTAATGTTACTGAAGAAGGGCAATAAAAAATATTCAAGAGTTTTGTAAATTCAATTTTATTTATTTATTTATTTATTTTTACAAAGAAAACCACACAGACCATATTTAGCTCAAAATGAAATGAAACTATTCCTTATTTCTCTGGGGGTCACATGACACTGTAAAAAAAACAGCCCGAGTTGTTAGAATCACTGTCACACGTACATGTCAACATGTCACATCTACACAGTTGACACAGTGAAGCTGTGCGCTAACTGATACGGACGAATCAACAGAGATTAAGGAAGTGTAATATCCAGTACAGGAAATTGCCTCATCATGTACAAAACAGTGGCATTACACCACAGAGCTTGTCTGCAGCGGCTGCTCTGTTGACAGAAAAGGAGGAACTGCAGCTCTGCAGCATTTTCAGATCTTTTCTATATTAGAAATGTCCATTTTGCCTATTCGTGTATCAAAGTCTAAACGTCCTTGTTTAGACGTAATGAGCACATTATTAAAGTTGTCTGCAAAATCAATGAAAGCAACAATACTGTGCAGTATAAACTTTTCTTGCAGACCTAGTTAAATGTCTTCACACAGTCATAACAACAGTATATTGATCAGCGGTTTTCTGCAGTTTTGTTAAACATGTTTTATGTCTTTATTAACATAATGCACACACTAACACGCATAAACACTTTTCTTATTGTCTTTGAAGATGCACCCACAGTTCACCACATTGTTCCACCTTCTTTCCGTTCAGGCCTATTCAAATACATTGAAATTCCCCTTGTATATTTGTGCATATGTTGATTGTGTGCTGAGTCTATAAGTCTTATAACTTCTGTTGTCATGTGTATGTTTTTTTAACTACTTCTCTTTTGGCTGAAGGGTTGCAGACTTTCTGTCTCGCCACCCATGTTTGAATTTCCCCTCAGCTTTTTGCAGTTTTCATCATATGCAAAAATAAACTTTGACTAAAGTGACAGTGCTCTTTGTGTGCTCTTCAGGTGATTCCTCAGATCTCCTCCCTGTCCTGGTTCACCACTGTTGTGCCTCTGGTCCTCGTGCTATCAGTCACTGCTGCTAAGGATGCCACTGACGACATTGTAAGTGTTTTTGCACAGAATTTCACCTTAAACTAATTTTTGTACTTGGATTAAGGTAATTAGCACGGTGAACAAACCAAGAAGCATTTATCGTATATCTCCACCAAGGCCAAATTATCCTCTAATTTGTGTTTTTTATTCATAGAAAATGCTTAAAATTTTTTGATCTGGATCTACTATGGATCTGCATCAAATGCACACACTGACAGAGAAAAATCATGAAATGCATGTACCAGATTTTTTTTAACTTCACACTTCAATGGTGATTCACTCCTCAAAGCCTGTGGAAGCAGGTTACACTGCTTCACATTCTGACACCCCATAAAAAGCTGAGCAGAAACTGTTATCACCTGAAAAATGAAATTGTTGGGGTGGTTGGCTTAAAAAAAATGGTTCGCAAAATGTCCCTGTTACACCATGAGGGTTATATATTTAATATAGAAACTAATATAGCAGTTGACAGCGAATGATCGATTGATCAATCACTTTGTCAGAGCAGCATGTCTCAAAGTTGGGAACAAAGAACACCTTCTTAGTTTGGGAATCACTGGCTTCAAACGACCTGTGTTTACTTTTTCCAGACAAGCAACATCTTCACATCGCATGAACAAAAATGGTCTTCCCTCAGTGGCAGAGGTGGAAGTACCATGATGTTGTTACGCTGTCCCACAAAGTGTCAGGGTGGAGGTCACAGTAGAAGGTTCCTCTTGAAAAGTTTCGAACCTCAAAAAAGCTGTTTGCTTAGATTTTATCTTTAACCAACAGTCAACACTCTTTTTTTTTTTTTTAAACCATGAACTGAACTTTTCCTGACCTTAACCAGCTTCAAAAACAAAACAAAAAACGACTTAAAAATAACAGGAAACGACCCCATAATGCTTAAAAATTCATTAAAAAATTTTTTTTTGGATCGGTCATGTGGGTATTTTAAAGTCCCCTAGATGGGATCTCATCAATAAAATGTATACAGAACAAACAACATGGACGTGTCCTCAGTAATGATGACAAAAGGAGAGAAAGGCAGCATTACTTCACACAATTCTACAATGAACAGAAAGCAAGAAGAAAATTTAAAAAAAGATACAACTGGAAGATACAGACAATATGGTCTAAAATACTGCTCCGGTAATATTACAACAACCTCACTTCAGTTTGCAACACATCTTTTAACCGCAACCATGAAGGAAATCGGACTGTGCAACTGCTCAGACTATAAAACAGCTGACCAGAAATTTCTCACCTGCCAGAAATTCATCCACAAGCAAAGCTGTTCTGGAAGTTATTGAAACATCATGACCCCCTCCAAACCAAACAGCTCTTGATCTCCAATTTAGGGCTAAAACAGCTGTATCCTACTAACCCTGTTTGGATGTGTGGATGGCTTAGGTTAAACCCTTTGTAAAACACGAGCAGATACATGAACGCCTTAGAATCTTTCTTTTATTTTCTAATCTGACTGTCAAATCAATTCTTCTTCGTGGGCTCTAAAACAGTAGCTGCCAGTGGCTGCACAGCACAATATCCTGTGTAAGCTACTGTTGAAGAAATTATCTCTTGGAAAAACTGACATTATATTTGGATGTAAAACTGAAACGTCAACGCGGTATCGGACTGGTACATAGACTTGTGTACTCACCGATACCCAATACTTTATTTTAGGCTGTAATCGGAGGCATTTCTGAAACTAGTATCTGTATCAGAACGCCTTTACCCAGGTTAAGATGTTACTACACTGATCCACTTCTCTGCTCAGTCATCTAAAAAAAATAAATAATAACATATTTACAACCTAAGGGAGCTGCAAGGTGAGCTGCATCGATGACAGTCAAATATCATCAAAACAATATATCAGCCCAACTCTTGTACAAACAGACAGAACATGTCATGTTGCAAATAACCTCTATTTCCTTTTTGACCGTGGGAAAGGCAGTTTCACTGTCATAAGCGCCTTCATGCGAAACACTTTAACACTTGTGATCTCATTTTCAGTGACCTTGTTGTGTGTCACAGTCAAAAACAACATATCTGTTTTTTAGCACGAGCATTTCTCCGTCTGCTCAACATCGAATTAAAGCTGATGTGGCTTGATTCAAGCATGTTTTAACCTTGGTCGACCTTGGGCTGCTGTTTTGTTTCTAATAATTCAAGAAGGCAAATGGAAACCTAAAATATGCAAATTAGCATTCCACTGTACACTACATTGACCTTTTTTCTCAAGGAATTTGTCCCTTTTTGGTAAAACTATTGCTCAGTGCTTTCATCAGATTTATGCATCATTCTGGTTTTGTGACAAAAACATAGGTCATCTGGGAGTTTAGGCTGATGAAGCAATAAGAAAAATTCCCCTCTCCCTAAAAATATACCTACAGTGTCACAGTTGATCTTTAATGGAACTTGGACAGGAAAATTATTCTTTTTTTTTGTTAATGGACAAACTGTTTTTTTTCTTTTTCTTTTATCGCTTCATGAGAACCGAGACAGAACAACATGTTCCTCTAAAACAATGATAGGAAAATGAGTTTTCATTTCAGCTTTCAAACAAACAAATGTGTGTGTGTGTGTGTGTGTGTGTGTGTGTGTGTGTGTGTGTGTAAGCTAATGCCAAACCACCAAGTGGAAATAACTGATGTAATGGGTTAAACATTAGCTCGAGAAGCAGAACAAGAGTCTTTTTGTTAAGCAGCAGTGGCTGTCCTGAACGCTCCTCGTCACCAGTACCCATCTGTTCCTTCAGTGAGATCGCTGCGTTCAGGCTTGATCTGATCCCACCAGGTACACAACAATTCAAGACCGACACCCACAGTGAGGTGGATGACTTCTCAAAATAAGCAGAAATAATAAAGGAAAGGTTTCACAATCTACCGTCAGCTGCAGTAATGTAGAAAAGTAGATTTGGTAACTTGAGCCTCTTCAGAACAAGTATTTTAAAGAAACACATGTGATTGCAAGAGTGCAAATAATACTGCTTAGTATCAGTATTTCTTGTATTATTTTGATGGGATCATTTAATTTTGTTTCTGGTCATTTCATTTTTGTATTTTAAATATTAAAGTGATTTTTTTTAGATTTTGAGTAAGACTCATTTTCCATTTGATTTCACAATTGGAGAGTCATAACTATCCACATGTGTGGCTCCAAACCTGGAGCCAAGATGGAATAACTCTGAGGGGTCACAAGATGATTATCAGAGGACGGAAGCAGGATAAACTAGAGTGTCACTCAGCAGAGCGCCTCACAATCTTACACTCTACTTATGTGGATGGTCATAGACGTCAACACCATACATTTTGTCAGACTTCCCTCTAATATTTATTTTCTTTTTTGTACATTTGTTAATAATTTTACTTGTTCTGAAATTATTCCAAAACAACATACAAACAAAAAAAAAAATGAAAAAAATAGTTTTGTTTTAAGAGGATACCAGTGAAATAAGTCTGGGGCCTAATTGTTGGGGTCATAAATTAGGATGGCAAACAAAATTTAAATAGTTGTTCCTTTTATCTGAGGCGACAAGATTTTTTATAGAAATCAGTTCACAGTGTTTTAAGGTGTTAACAAATAATGTTAAAGGTGAAAACAGGATCTCACTGACATGCCAGACGTTGCCCGAACAAGTTTAACTTTCTTTTATACTCAATGTATTATCTGTCCTTCCTATTGTTGTTCAGCAGAGACAGAAATCTGGACTCAAATCCTTTGGCTTCTGGACAGAAAACATTTGAGGCTTCCAGTTCTGAGCAAACCTTTCTGATATGTGACTTGAGCAATGTTAATGATTAAAATAGTAAATTAAGTAAATCTGGCTAAGTATGAGGATGAAGCAGTGAACTTGTCTGTTAAAACCCTTAAAAATGTTAAAACTGCTTCAGAAAAAAAGTCATGAAATAATGTCCAAATTTGTCAACACTGATTGTAACTGAGTAACTTAGCCAAAGACAAAATAAAACAAAGACAAAAGAGGCGTCCTCATGGTGGAGACTCTACTTCAGCTGAATATCTCCTCAAACATTTTCTGCCAGGCAGTGGCACCTCAGTATCTCTACAGGAAAAGATAACACAAGCTCTCAGTTGGTTTTTGTTATCATTGATTCAGTGATCAAACTTGAGTTTCCTGTCATCTCTTATCACCCACTCAGTGCTATCTTTGTATGTCTTCTTTCCAGAACCGTCACAGGAGCGACAATCAAGTCAACAACAGAAAAGCTCAAGTCCTCATCGATAGAAAGTAAGTTTGTATGTGTACATACAAGTTTGTTCACTTGTGCTTGTATATAAAGTTTCAGATAGCTACATACAGGTGTTTGTGTATTTGTAGAGACACCATCAGGGTCCTTTGTACAGGTGAGTGTTCCCCAGGGGACCTTCTTGAATAGATCATAGTGTAATCATAGGAGTATGCACAGCTGTAGTATTTGCTTGGTTCAACTGTAATAGTGGAACAAAGCAAAATATAATGCATCCTTAAGATCCCATGTACAAATACAGCATACCTCGCATATTTCAGATAGCAGACGTCAGGGCAACAGGATACAAAACAAGCGCTCGCCACCATCCTGCAGCTGCTTCCTGAGGCTGTACTAGAGAGAGTTTAGCTTATTGAGCACAAGGAATAAACAGATGAGTAGAAATACAGGAATGTATGATAAAAAAAGATCAAAGATTTTCAGCAGGCTTATCTATAAACAGAAGAATTGAAAAGCCGGCCTCCATGTTGCCATATATAGAATTCTTTTGGAGAAATAGCTAATACTATAATACACTCGCTGAGCACTTTATTAGGAACACCTGTTCATCTGCCTATTCACACAATTATCCAATCAGCCAATCATGTGACAGCAGACATAAAATAATTAGCCCTTAAAGACCCACCGTGAGGGTGTTACCCTAGATAAAAATATTTACTTGCATGTAGTGTTTTGTCTTTTCTCCTAATTGCGGTCTTGTTGGTTGTTGGGAAGCAGCTCCGTGCCCACTGTTAAGGGCACCGCAGGAAGCAGCTGTTTTCTTCCTGTTGACCAGACGTTCGCTTTTGTTAAACATGTGAGCAGTGACTGATTTGTCATGTGTTGGAACTGGAAAACAAACACTGTTGGCTCCCTTATTCATTTAATTCAAACACTTTTTTTTTTTTTAAGAAAAAACTAAAACCTGAATTAAATTCTTTTTTTTTTCCATTGAATGATGCAGCTTTTATTTCCAGCAAAGATTGATTCAAGGTTGGTATAAGAGGCGTGAATGAGGGTGGAGCTTGTGTTCAAATCAACATGTTTTCATTTGATGAGTCTGTTGACTATTTTTTAAATTACTTCATGACACATTTATTTAGTAAAATGTGAAAACAAATTATCAAAGTGATCAAAATTCTCACCTGACTCGCCAACAGTAAAAAAAATCCAAATACTTTCAGTATACCAGGATGTGAAATTATTTTCCTGAAATGAAATCTCAACCGAGAAGAAGTGAAAGAAATCCAAGGAATCACGTTCCATCACTTTAACTCACTTTATTTATTTACTTTTATTTACCTTTACTTATTCAAGTGAATCCCATTGAGATGGAAATCTCATTTTCAAGAGAGACACCTGAATGTACATAAAAACATAATAAAAATAATTCATGAACAGATAGTCCAAAAATAATTTACAATACAATTTAAATGGCAAACAATAAAAAATACAAAATTGTAATAAAAATAACACACAAGGAAAATGTAAAACATATAAAATGCAAAGATTAAAACACAGCCTTTCATCCAGTGAGAAAAAGCCTCATCAGTTAAAACAATTACATTCTGTTGTGGGAAGGTTTAAAATCTCGTCTCTAAAATGTGGATAACTTAAAGTGCTCTGCTTATTCCAAGTGTTTGGAGTATTAAAATCCAGATGTGGTCTTTTCTATTGAAGGTCCCACATTTTACACTTTTCCTGTGTATTATTTGAAGTGTTGATCCATAAGACGATATATTTGTGGTTTTAAGAACCAAAAAACATTTCAGTGTAGTTTTACATCTCCTCTCTCAGGCTTCTCTCTGGAGCTCTAATAACAACAGGTCAGTGAGCCAATCAGAAGAGAGGAGGATCTGAGCCTCTCTTCTGATTGGCTGACTGTTTTCTGAGTGATCATAAAAAGATATAGCAGATTTCAGGAAAATACTGAGTAACCAAATCCTGCAAGGATGGATGATGCGTCCAGGTGGGCGGGGCTTGGGGCATGGCTGAGACTGGTCACTGATTTGTTGTGACATCACAAAGTTACAGAAGTCCTGACGGCTCAGTTTCTGAATACAGGCTGTGTGCATTTCTCTGTGGACTGAGGCTTTGATACTTTCACAGTATTAATATAGAAGCTAGACCTGATCTATAATCAAGAGAAAAATGGACATCTCACTTTATACAATATGGGACCTTGAACACAACATGTCAGTCCTCAGACCTTCTTCGGATAAAGTTACAGAAAAGAAAGAGATTCTTGAAAGAAGTTAAAGTAAACAGTGTCTACTGCTCATATCTGAATTACCAGCATGAACTGGATCATGAGATCGAAAACCCTCAAATATTTGTTTATCAGCCAGGTTTTACAACGTCTTGTTGTTATTGGCAGACAGACACAGACACAAATAATACAGGAAACTGCAGGAACATGCAGTGAAAGAAACGTGACTAATATTAGGGTGACCTTGGTGTTCGGAGCTTATTTATGGTCCCTCGGACAGTTTTTGTCCAAACATTCACTTACCAGCCTGTTTCCTGTTCTCAGACTACGCAGCGAGAAATGGATGGACGTTCAGGTGGGAGACATCATCAAGCTGGAAAACAACCAGTTTGTCACTGTGAGTAAATTGAAAACATTACTCCATTTTCTTATCCATTCCTCAACAGATTTCACCTACAGTTACTTGAATTTTATTTGCATTTTTTGTGCTTTTGTTCTCCATTTGTCACCTTGATTTATTATTTTTTGTTCCTTTTTGTTATTAAACCCTCAACTTTTGATTTCATGGAAATTTTTTTACCTCATTGTCAGTGTATTTTTAGTATTTGTGTGCAAAGAAAAAACAGCATCATCTTTGCCAAAGCAAGACCTTGAAAATGAAAAGTGTTGCATCATAAAACACCAAAACATAAGCAAAGTTTTTAACTGGTGTAAAGTTACAATAAATTACTGCAGAGATTCTTTAATAGAAACTTTAATAAATAAGGGATATTGTTTTATTATTGCCAGAGCTCTCTGTATTTGTCTCATTGCATTTTTTTATTGATCAGAACAGTATGTGTGTGACACTGCTCTAGATAGTTTCAATAGTGTGGTGAATAAGAAAACTGATGGCCTCATTCTGGTTCACACTGCAGGCCAGTTCAGCGTCTCCTTGGCATTTGATTTGTTTATCTGACAGATAAACTAACAACAGATTTCAGTGATGAATCCCTCTGTCATTTCAGGCCGATCTGCTTTTGCTCTCCAGCAGTGAACCACTCAACCTGGTTTACATCGAGACAGCAGAGCTGGATGGGTTAGTCTGTTCTTTGTGTATAAAATATAAGTCACCGAGTTCAGGATCTGTTTTTGTGTACAAAAATAAACATACAGTTTATACATAGACAGACACTCATGAATTCACAGGCATTAAAATGGACACACGCAGATAATTTTCAGACATACTTTATACATTTTCACATTAAAGAAAATCGTGTTATTGTAAATACATAAATCCATTTGTAGCACAGTATTTGAAACTTGTTCACTTGTTTAACACAGAAACAATGCAACGACAGGTATTCATGCTGTTGTTCTTCATCTCTCCTTTTTGCACTGCTCACTTACTCTACCTCCTTTTTGTCGTCATTTTTTCTGCTTTTCTTCACCCTTTCCTCATCCCCGCCTCCATTTGTCTCGCCTCCTCTTCCTTAGAGAAACTAACCTGAAGGTGAAGCAGGCCCTGCCGGTCACGGGAGACCTTGGAGAAGACATTGAAAAACTGGCAGACTTCAACGGTAAAAGTGCAAAAGAAAAATGCAATAACAGTTTCAACATTTCATGTGATATTCTGTGTTCCATCTCAAACCTACTGCGCCACCTCTCTCTCCCTCAAGGCGAGGTACGCTGTGAACCCCCCAACAACCGGCTCGACCGCTTCATGGGAACACTGACGTTTGCCGGTCAGAAATACCCGCTGGACAACGAGAAGATCCTGCTGAGAGGCTGCACCCTGAGGAACACCGAGTGGTGCTTTGGGCTGGTGCTGTTTGGAGGTGGGGGGGGGGCGAGTTTCATTGACATGGACATTTTTTTGACTAACTATAGAGGTCGTGATTTGAGGCATTACTTGTTTCTGTTTCTCTTTCAGGTCCAGAGACAAAGCTAATGCAGAACTGTGGGAAGAGCACATTCAAGAGGACCAGTATAGACCGTCTGATGAATGTCCTTGTCCTCTGTGTGAGTCCTCCACAGCATTTGTTTGTTTAAACTGATTTCAGGGCTTCCAATGGTTTATTATTTTGTAAATAGATCAATTAATCTGTCTATCTTCGGGTAATTGCTTAATTGAATAGCTATTGAGGCTTTGAAAAGTCTATCAGATGTCTAATGCATGACGGCAGCAGCAATTATGGTTTATCTGGATTAAACAGAAAAGACAGAGAGCAACACACAGAGACTGTTACTTTATCAACACAACATCCAAAGAAAACATCACAAAACATTATGCAAAAATGAAAGTAAAAGAAAAAAATTGAACTCAAGACTGTTCGTTTAAGGAACTTTCCATCAGGCAATTTAGGACCTTACACAGCGAGATTATCAAGATTCATGTTTTAAGTATATTCACATAGATAATTGAAAACTATAAGAATTTGACTTACAGATGTAAAAAATCTTGCTGATTGATGCCTGTTTCAAATCTCTTTACAAACATAATTGATGCATCATTAATTACTTAGATTAAATTGCTGTCTTGTGTTAATTACAGTATTGAAAGAGCAGGTTCCTATATTTCACCTTTAGTGCTGTTGGTGACTCTGTGTTTACATTGAGATTAGACATTTTACCCTTAAGACATTTACAAAAAAAAAGCTTTAAAATGTTCTCCTTGGTTGGAGTGCAGGTATCTATCCTCTATCCTCACGTATGAGTGGATTTGTACATTAACTCCAGGCTCTACTTTGACATCCATCTCTGGCTCTTCGTCCTCTCCCTGCAGATTTTTGGTTTCCTGGCCTTCATGTGCACCATCCTGGCGATAGGAAACTGGATCTGGGAGTTGAACGAGGGCTCACAGTTCATGGTCTTCCTGCCGAGGCAAGACGGCAACGATGCTGCTTTCTCTGCCTTCCTCACATTCTGGTCCTACGTCATCATCCTCAACACCGTGGTGCCCATCTCTCTCTATGTTAGGTAACAACATGAGTGAAGACGCTATTTAGAAACAGAACTTGGGTGTTACGCTTTAAAGGAACTTAAATGATCTCCAACTCCTGTATCCACATGTTTTGTCAGTGTGGAGTTCATCCGGCTGGGGAACAGCTTCTACATCGACTGGGACAGGAAGATGTACTACGCTCGCAGTGACACCCCCGCTGAGGCTCGGACCACCACCTTGAACGAGGAGCTGGGCCAAATCAAGTATGTCTTCAGCGACAAAACGGGGACGCTCACTCAGAATATCATGACATTCAACAAGTGCTCCATCAACGGCAAATCCTTCGGTAAGACTCAAAACATTGCCCTGTGATTTTTAAACCGACAGTGTCTATAAAGTGTACTCACGCTGGACAGTGGCTTCCAGTTCAGTCAAGCGCAGTGCATCTGAATTCATCAGAAAAGTGGAGAACTAAAATACAAAAAGATAAAATAAGGTTCTTCAAGTTCCTCGCCAAAACAAATAACAAGTGAAATTAAGTGATCTTCAGGGCGGTTGTGAACACATTATCTGGCCTCATTCACTCTTTATCAGGAGCTCCTCAGGGAATATTGTTGGGTCCTCGAAGGTTATGGTCTGACAGATTGATAAAGTGTGATTCTACAGTAAATGCTCTTTTTGTGTTTTATATTTTTAACCTTTTGGAATGAGGTTGATTCATCACTGTCTTCGTCTTTGCAGGAGATGTGTATGATTGCACCGGCCAAAGGCTAGAAATCACTGAGGTGAGTTGGACTGTGATGATGCGAATTCAAGTCCTCATACCAAAACAACAAATTAGGTTTGTTGTAGGTTGTTTGTACTGCCGCCCATGTGAGTGACTCGCTGACATGATGCCCCCAGCAGGAGAACAAATAGCTCTTTTCCGCTGTATACCAGCTCAACTCGACTCTACTCGCCTTTTTTTTTTTTTTTTAAGTTCTAGACACTACCTGATACCTGGTAATTGTTTTGGTATCTCCTCTGTCGTTTCTCTATAGAAACAACGCTGTATTGTTGGGGTACTATCTGCAGTGAAAAAGGAAGTACCTGGTACCAAAAGCAAGTAGAATCAAGTTGAGTTGAGTCGGTACCATGCAGTGGAAAAACACTAGAAGGTTTCAGGTTTTTCAGATTAGAACAGTATCTCCTTTCCTTCTTTGAATCTATGAATCTCAGGTATTTCAACTAAAAATAGAAGCTGTCGTAAAATCACTAAAGAGTGCTTACCAATAGTTTATATTGTTACACGGGTTACAGTTATTTCACTGCATTACATCAAGTTAGATGAATAGTTTTTTCCTTGGAAGAAATCAGGCGGATCATTATGCTTGTCACAGATTTTTATCTCTTAGGGAACAGTTTGAACATCTCACCATTGTACATTTATTAGGCCCACTGTGCACTTGACACATCTAAGGTTTCTATTGTCTCTCCAGCATACAGAGAGGGTGGACTTCTCCTTCAACTCTCTGGCTGATCCCCGCTTCATATTCCACGACCACGCCCTGGTGGAGGCGGTGAAGCTGGAGAACCCAGAGGTGCACTCCTTCTTCAGACTGCTGGCCCTCTGCCACACCGTCATGGCTGAGGAGAAGAAAGAAGGTGAGTGTTTCTGTGTGAGCGAGTGAATTTTATCATCTTATTACCAAAGAGATTAATGCAAATCTCATGCCATTTATTTTATTTTGTTGTGTGTTATTCGTTTGAATAACCTTTGTTGTAAAGTTTCAGCGATTTTGTGTTCTAAAAAAGAAAATATGTCAATTGAATTAAAGGCTTGAAAAAAGGAGGAAGTGGCATGAAAATGAGAGAAAAACTAAAAGGAAAAGCAAACTGACAATAAACAACCTTTTTCCTCCAGGTGAGCTCTTCTACCAGGCACAGTCTCCAGACGAGGGAGCTTTGGTAACAGCAGCCAGAAACTTTGGTTTTGTCTTCCGCTCACGTACACCGGACAGCGTTTCCATTGTAGAAATGGGACAGCAGCGTAGCTACGAACTCCTGGCCATCCTGGACTTCAACAACGTCCGCAAGAGGATGTCAGTCATAGGTATATAGTCCACTGAAAACAGATTAATATGATTTCTCATATAAAAGTTTTTTTTATCACTGAACCTAACCTAAATCTTATCATAATTTAAGGTCACTACTTGTTTCTTGTCTTGCAAATCTACAACGTTTGTTCTCGTGTGTGTTTGTACTTGTGTGTACAGTTCGGACTCCAGAGGGGAAGCTCTCTCTCTACTGTAAAGGTGCAGACACGATCATCTACGAGAGGCTGCATCAGTCCTGCAGCAAGCTGATGGACGTCACTACAGAGCACCTTAACGTAAGTGACATTTCTGTGTGTGCACGTATGTTTTCATTAAAGAAAGAAGAAATCATTTTTGAGTCCTTCACATTGTTTGTCTCTGTATGCTTGTTGGGGTTTTTTTTTTTTTGCCGTGTTTCAAGTGTGTGTTTACAGACGCCGAGCAAATGATGGCAAATGCAATAAAAAGAGGTTTGATCGATAAAGATAGCTTAAATCAGTCAATAGAGTTAAAATGAGGACACAGAAACAGCACTTAATGCAATGCAAGTCACTGTTACAGTAGCCAGACACATTTCAACAGGGAGGCTGTTCTAGCGTTTGCCTGATGGCAAATGCACAATTTCCTTTATTTTAAAAAGTTTGGATCCTGCAGTTAAAAATTATTTTCATTTTCAATTTATCATTTATCAATGTCTTGTTTAGTCTGACCGACAGTCCATAATCCAAAGATAACCAGTCCACTGTTGTGTGTTACAAAGAAAAGCATCAAATCATTATATTGAGAAGCTAGAAAAAGCAAATGACTCAAACAGCTATTCTGTTTCTTGTACATGTCTGTGTTCTCCTTCCTCTCTCTTTCTCCTCTGAATTCTCTGTCATCCTTTTATTTATCCCTCTGTTTATTCCCTCTCCCTTTATTTCTGTTCTATCTCTCTTATGTCTTGTTAAATTATAAACAATTTATCCTCTGGTTTGTGTGTTTGTCTTCTCTTCTCTCTGAGTTTATTCCATAGATAACATACTTTATACACGAGTGTGACTTCTGTTTATATCTTAAAGTTCTATTAGGTTTTGGTGTGCAGTGTCCATCCATGTAATAAAGTACATGCCGGTTTGCAGGAGTTTGCAGGGGAGGGTCTGCGGACGCTGGCGCTGGCCTATAAGGATCTGGATGAGGAGTATTTCAACCAGTGGCAACAGCGCCACCACGAGGCCAGCACTGCGCTGGACGACCGGGAGAGCAAACTGGACCAGCTGTACGAGGAGATTGAGAAGGACCTGCTGGTAGGACTGGTGTCGCAGTGAAGCTCATACTGTAAACACTGCATTTCTTTTTGTTTGAATTGTTGTGAAATGCACAGCATGTTGATGATGTGTCTGAACCTGTGTCCAGCTGCTCGGAGCAACAGCCATAGAAGACAAGTTACAGGACGGAGTACCTCAGACCATCGAGCTGCTGTCCAAGGCTGACATCAAAATCTGGGTTTTGACCGGTGACAAGCAAGGTGCACAACATTTTAACAAGTCTGAGAAGGTTTTATCATCCGCAGTTAGTCAGTTTTATCCTTAGTGATCAATAATTAAAGGAGGAGGTGTCACTTCGTCAACCTGGGGTCGTTTCCTTTTATGGTGAAATTTATCATAATACCAGTTTATTACGGCCTGGGTTTGAATTTTGTCGTTTTGGCCATAATTTCTATTTTATAGTTTATAGTTTATAGCTCACAGTGATGTCCAATGGATTTAGGTCAGCTGACGACTTCTTCCCTTTGTTGTCAATAGAAACACCGGTAACTACAGCTGCAACGAATACTCGATTAATCTATCTAGAGAAAATTAACTGTCAACTATTTTGAAAATTCAATTATCTTTTTAGGCATTTTAAATAAAAGTCTCAACATTTGCTGATCAGCTTCTCAAATGAGAGGATTATATATTTTTATGACATTGAACTGAATATCTCTGGGTTGTGAGCTGTCAGTCAGACAAAAACAGACACCAAGTCTCCCTTCCCTAAAAAAAAAAAACAGCATGTATTTGGACATTAGACATTTAAGTTTAAAATTACAACCTAGAAACCCTTAACATCAGACAACAATACCCCAAGTGGATCAGCTGTTTCAGTGCTCTACTTCACCCACTGTATAACTTTTTAATGGACGCCCAGTCTCAGCTTGTTTGACACCTAAAGCAGAAACTGATAAAAATGACTAAAGGACTCAACGACATATGAGACTCTAAGCTCTTCTCCATGTTTGCATCATGATATCTCCTATCTGATGACGCACACTGACCGTGCACTAGTTGTGCTTGTATGTGCCTCATTCTCTTCTTGTAGTTTTAAAAATGTCGGAAGA